TTGTTTCTCCATCAACAAGAGCTCTGAATAAAACAATTTAAAAACAATTTACTTGCTTGAAGAACCTTTAGGCGCTCAGAGAAATATTTTGAGCAAGCCTTTGAACATTCTTCCTTCCTTTAAATTAAATGCATTTTTCTCCCTTTCTTTTTCTCATATTTTGTGTATATACCTTCACGTTTTTTAATGTATGTAAATAAACATTTTCTGCTATTGTTACACTACACGCAGGAGTTCGAGTCTATTCTTCCGCCTAAAAGAGAGAATTGTTCGCTCTAAACTTTCAAGCCGTTGTTGCTTTTATCGATTCTGTCACATTTTTTAACCTTAACCCTTTCATGTGGGAAAGCCAGGGCAAATTTCCCACAATAAAACTCCAAAAGCTTTTTATGAGAGTTGGTTCTTGCATAATTTTATAAAGCATTGTTTTCTTTTAGAATAAACAGAAAAAAACATTTAATATTCTTTTTTTTAAATTACTTTCGATTTTTCAGTTCATCCCATTGCTGTTCATAACAAGTGTTTGTTTTGGGTTTTTTGGGTTTTTTTTTTTATTAAATAAAGACATATTTGAAAAATCGAAAACTGTAAGGTTTAATGCTATTTCCGAATGTGAACATTTTAAATGAATTTTATTTTATTTTATTTTTTATTTTTTCATTTATTTATGTATTTATTTTTTTGCAACTGTTAAATGATTTGTTAGCTGCTTTGTTAGATAAATTTTTGTATGGATGTACATAAGAGAAAGAATTTTGATTTCTCGTCTTTGATCATTCTACTAAGTTTGATAAAAAATATGGAATAAATATTGTATTCTTAAGCTGTTGGTTATATAGGATTATAATAATTTCACGGAGGAAACAAAAATAAAGGCATCGTGGACTCGTCCAATATCCTTACCTTTCCAACCCTAACAAAAGCACAGTCCACATCGTACGCCTACGTAACTAAAAAACTTCAACCAATAAAAACGACAAGAAACGAAGCAAACAACTCCATTGGTCAATCACTTGAAGTTCACGTGCAAAACAGAAATTGCGCCCAAATCAAGTGAGCCACTTTTGGAAATTCAAACGATATAAAAATAAACGTAGACAGTCCCAGACAGTCAGTCTCACGAATTCGCAGAGTACTTTCCAATATACTCCACGCCACTACGAATCACAATTTTGCCGCGCACGAAGATACATCGCTGACTCATATTCGATCATTCATTAATCAACTCTGAACACTTTTCTCAACTTTGCTTATGTACAGTGAATTAAATTCACTACTTTAAAATAAGTAAACAATAAACATCAACGAACATACAACATTACGAAAACCTCAACTACGTTTAAGGGTAGATCACTCTAAAAAAACTCTTTTCAAAAGACACTTATAATTCACAATTACAATTATTGACACAAACAAAAAACAGCGAATCAACGAACAATATCAACAAAGAGACATTCACAAATCTAACAATTACATACACATTTCGTCCACACGACACACACTGATTATCCAATCTGTATATTGTTAAATTGTATATAAATGTTGCATTGATTTCTAAATTGCATATGTCTCGTTTTTAATTGCATTTTGAATTTCATTTATTTATTTGTTTGGGATGCAGTAAGACACGCAACCAACTGAAAATTCCTTCTGATTCTTTCTTAAATAATTAACAACTCTGCACGTCCCCAACAGCATCACTGGGATGCCATTGAATAATTAAGAAAGAACTCAAAATGAACTAAATTAACATTATCAATTCAACAACTACAGATTTTACACATTCTTTAGTAGCAACTCCGTTATTTTAATACATTTTCTTATATTCAGAAACATTTTTTTTTTAATTACATTGTAATTTGTAATGAATGAATAGTGTAATTATATAGTTTATAACATGAAATGTGTAAGAAAATAAAAGCGATGAATTAAACTCAAAGGTATCATTTAATTAACAAATAATAACTACTTCTAAATGTATAAAATTATTAATTCTACTAATTTTAACAAAAACGTAGAGGATAATAAATTATATTATTGAACTATTCGTTAAGGTTAAAGTTAATTTATTTATAAGCATAAATACCAATTTCTTAGTTATTGCACTGCTGGTGTTCCGTATTTCTTTAATTTAATTTTTTTTTTTTTTAAGTTTTTCGTGCGGTTTTTAAGTCAGGGTTGTAATTATACAGTTTTTGTGCTTAACATTTGAACCCACAGACTTCCGTGCGTAAATAAGCGTCATTTTTATTAAGTTTTAAGTAAAAAGTAAACATTACATTCACAAAAACCAGTTAGTTAATTCTTAAATTTACTTATAGAAATTAAATCCTATACATATTCTTCAACCAATAAAATCCGATCGGGTTTGTTTGATAAACAACAAATACTGTCAGAATACTTGCGAACTTAGTTGTAGATCTACTACGTATTATAGCCCATTTAGAAAATAATAATAATAACTCCCTCCATCACTCCCGCCAATTCAAGAAAAACATTTTCGCGAGCCAGTGTGAAATTATTTTCTAACTAATGAAAATCTTGTAATTAAAAATTTCACACCTATATGTAATATTAGATTTTGTATCTTCCTTACGGATATAAAAGTAGAAGCATACTGCTTCTCGAAGCTAAAACAATTTCTAATGCCTGTTTGATCTACAAGTATGTACACATGAACCCACATACACAATGGAAGAGAGGTGCTAGCAGCCGCTAACGAAGGCCTTGTCTACGCACCGACAGATGCATTGGGTTGACCGTCAAAAGTAAGTCTGTCCACATAGTTTACACCGCCCTAAGAACACGTGATTACTTTATAAAACAAACTTCACTGCCAGGAAAATTGTACATTCTATTGTTATTGTGTATTTCTGAAAAGAATGTATAAATGTTCTTTCAAATGACGTTCTGCTTCTACATTTCCTCCAGAAAATAACCTTTTATACGTTTCATTTAAAAAAATGTGTTGTTGTTGTTGTTGTTAATCACGACACCCAGATAATAATAAAAAAAACTGGGTAGACGAATCTTAACATACTAAATGATTTCAAAACATACCTCTAGAACAAATATTGGATTTTAAGAGATTTTTAAATTTGTTGCTTTCATTTTTCGTCTAGAATGGCGGTTCAATGAGTCGTCGAGTGACGAGAAAACGTGACAATGTTTTTAAAATGCATAAAAAATTTCTAATCACATGCGGAAATTAATTTTTCTTTCAATGTGGATTAGCTTTAGGCTATTATCTTTCAAATATTAAGTTGACCAGAAAGTCCTGACTCACTTAGGAAACAGAAAGAAAACATCAAAATTTTATGGAGCAACACCAACATTTATTCTTCAAAATTAAGTTCATGATTCTCGACGATCTTCTGCCAGCGATCAGCCATCATCCGAATCTGTTCCAGATACCCGTCCGCTGGCTTTGAATAAAAAAACTGTAAACAAGTTTCCTTCACTCCATCAAAAGTGTTAAAACACTGGTCACGGAGAAAGTATGCCATTGAGAGAAATTAGTTGGTTCTCTGTGTGTCACACCAGAAAGTTTTTCTCGCCTGAGTCCATCCTTCAAATCTATAAATCAACCATTCGCTCTTGAATGGAATACTGCTGCCATATATCGTCTCCACGCCGTTCGTCTCAATGTCCTCGATAAAATCCAGAGACGGATATGCAATGTGATTGGTCCTGATCTGGCATCTCATCTACAGTCACTTTCTTACAGACGTACCGTCGCTTCCTTTTGTCTTTTATTGTTGTAGAGTGATTTCACAGTGGAGGCTTGTATTCGTACTAAGTCGGTCCTAAAATAGGTTCGACGTACAAAACGTTAGGAACTTCATATAATAAGTCTAACGCAGAGAAATCTAGTGGTGGTCGCTGATACTTTAGTATCCGACTAACGGTCGTCCGGCATCGACTGACTGACCAACTCACTCAGCGACTGCCTCGTTACTATTACTACTCCTACTTATTATAGGTGGGAGAGTCTATTAACTATAGAATAGGTGTGTTCCACTATAACATTTATACAAATACTTTCATAGTAACTGCTCCGACGAGCTACTTTCACTGGTTCCCAAACTGCATGAATTTAAACGTGCTACTGGGTTGGCATCTCAATCCCACCCTTTCACTGTCGAAACTGTTAAATGTAACCGTCTCTTCTACTCCAATAGCTTCATGTCTCGCACTTCCCGTCTTTGGAACTTCTTTCTTCTTACTTGCTTCTCTGATAGCTATAATCTTCAATTATTCAAATGCTCTGTCAATCGACATCTTCAAATGCTTTGATCTAATTCCCCGTCCTTATCTTCATCCTTTCCTCTATTACGCCTCCTTACTCTTGCCCCCACTGTCTGTAACCCCTTGCGTGTTAATGGCACTCTCGCCTTGCTTGGGGTGAAATGCTTAAAAAAATCGCCATATTAACTAGGAGCAGCATCAAGACTGAATGGTGGATGTGAGAGAATCTCAATACCGTCCAGCTGTTTGAACTTCTTAGTCAACCTGGCAGTGGTGCCTAGCATTGTCTTGCTAAAACAAAGCCCGACTTCGATTGACCAAAACAGAGTATTCCTTCTTTAGTTTGTCATACACGCGGTCTAGCTGCTGACAAAACAGTTTAACGTTGATGGCACGACCATGTGGAACATAATCGAAAAGCAGTATTTATTGGAAATTCCATCAGACAGAGATCAAGATTTGTTTTCTTTCCGCTTCCTCAGTGAGTTAGGACTTTCTGGCCAACCCAATAAAACAAAAATTTAACTTATAAAATGACATAAATTATTTTAAATATTTTTTTTAGAAAGTTCGTGGCGAGACCTACTAGTTTAGGAGTTTCTTTGTCAAATGATATTATATTTATGTTATCTCTCAATTAGATTCTCAGTAATTGGTTAAGAAAGAGGAATATGATTTATTAACTGAACATATAAGTGTAAAATTTAACAAATTTTATTCGTGTATGATTTTTTTTTTTTTTACATTTACAGCCAGTTCAGTCATCTTGATAATTGTCCAAGGAAGTCTCCGAACTTTCGGTCTTTTTATAGTGGAGCTTCAACGAAATTTTGAAACTTCATCTACGACAATATCGATTGTGTTGGCAGCAGAGTCGATATCGAATTGCCTTTCATGTAACGTATAAGTTTTATTAGTTATTTGTATCGACCCTAATAATCATTAACATAATTAATAATTAGCCATCCAATTAATCACTTGCTAGAGATTGATACCTGTTGAGGTTTATGCCGATTGATATTGAATTCACAAGTGAAAATCTAATGAATTAGACACAATACTGTTTCATTAAGCTTAGGGTGGAAAGGAAAGTATGTTCCATAACATCAATGATGATGATGAGGGTCATCATCATCATCATCATCATCATCATCATTGTGTAAGAGTTCCAGTCCTACTAGGGAATTCTGGAAGTAAAACAGATAAGACAGGAGTTTGAATAAAACAGTTGTTGAGTTTAACACGTCTTGTGTCATCTTTGTGTTACTTCAAATTTTAGCAGGCCAGATTAGAGATAGTTTTATCTTTCCACTCTAAGTCAAGTGGAACAGATACATATTTTAATTAATAAGAATCATTCTTGGGATGATTAAAAATCTTTCACAATGGTAGTTTCATTTACTGATCGAAATAATTGACAAACTGAAGAGATTAAATTCTGAAGATAATTTTTCAAGATAGAAAATTATACTATATATAAAATTATATTAATTCAGAAACTTACTTCAGTATTTAAGTTTTTCTTTGCGATGATGAATTAGAAAAATAAGTGTTTCGTTAGTAATTTCTTCTTTTTTTAGTGTACATTCAATAAGAATTTTTCTTTCGTATCTTAGTAACACGTCTCAAAGAAATTATTGTATTATTCAAAGATCATATATGTATATAATTTTGTTAAGCACAAAAATAAAGAAAGGCTTGCTAGTCCTCATGATCGTACTGGCCTTGATCAGATTGCTGATCACGCCAGATAAGATAATGTGTTCTGTTCCACTCAGCATAGTTGTAGTATAAACCACAGGCAGACTTTGAGAATATTGGACAAACGCAACAGGGACTGGTAAGCCGTCCTAGGTGTACTCGGATACGAGCGGTCAGCCATTATTATATTATCAGAAGTTATAGTTAGTAAGATTTAGCATTTATAGTTGAATTGGAAGTTTGGCAAATCGGAAATGCCATTGACACTTCCGGTTCATAACTAGTGAAAAAATTTAGTCAAGTCATAATTATATTCAACAGAATCAGCCAGATTTTTGCAAAATTTAAAAACTGGTTACGTTTCAGACCAAATCTTGAAGCCCAATCTCAGACAAACAAAAATCAAGTTCAGAAAAGGCGGCTGAGTTACCGCCAGAGGGCCACGCTTTTGCTCACAATAGCATTTTTCATTTTACTAATTGCTTTTTCTCACTACAGAAAGAATGACTTAATGTAAGAATTACACAGTCTTTAAATGAAATCTGCTTTTATTTTATCTAATGGAACAACACACAAAAAAATTTAAAGGTAGGTGTCTGGATAGGCGTACGATTAATTAATGCATGGATTTTTAAAAAGAATTCACTCAAATATTTGTTTACGAGTTTAACTTGTTGACAGCCAAAGGTCAATTACGAAATCTGACTTCATAACAACCAATAAAAAAAATAGGTTGATTTATAGCTTCAATTGAAGACTTAACATTGTTTTTAACCTAAAAATAACTATCACTACAAATAAACTCATTTTTGGTGCCAGTAGATGAAAAGATAACTCGTAATCGACGCCATAATCATAGCTACCAACCACAAGTTTTGAAAGTCAATCTGTTAAATAGATATATTTAGCAAGTCTTTTGTTAAAAAAAGACTCAGTATTTTCTTTTCTTTTTTTTTTCAACATAATATGTGAGGTAACGTACCATCTGATAGAAACTCGTGGCTGAGTAAGATTTATCCAGATCTTCTGTTGTACAAATAAATAATTTAACTGCGTGATAAAACATGAATAAAAATAACCGCCACTTCTACTCCAACAGTTTGTTTTCTTGCACTTCTTGACTGTGAAACTCCCTTCCTCTTACTTGCTTCCCTGGTAGCTACAATCTTCAAAAATTTAAATGCAGCGTCAACCGTCATCTTCTGTTGACTTGAAACTTTATTCTTTTCTCAGATTACTCAATCTTTTCTCTCACTTTCACTCTCTGTAAACCCCTGCTTGCTAGTGGCACTCCCGCCTGAAATGCTTAACAAAAAAAAAATTAAAAAAAATAACTTTTTCTTTCTTTTCTTTTTTTATATTTTTACAGCATTTTTAGCCATGAACTGTTTATCGAATATTCTGTCTTCTCGTACGCTTATCATTATCGGATCTCTTCTTTCTGCTTTGTGTTTTATTCTTGATTCCGTGGCCAGCACAGCATTGATGTTGCCCTTTTTCCACTTACTGAGCGGTAAATTGACCTTTTGTTTCATTTTCTTCACAGAACATTTTATAGAAAAGTGTAATATAATGAATATATTGTTTTCTTTTTATGTTATGCAATATTAACAAAGTAAATGAATCCAATTTCAATTAGATTTTTTAATTATATATTTTTTTCTGTGTATTTAACTGACAGCATCTGTTACGGGATGCTAGTACGATTGTGTAAATATTTAGTCACCATTGCGGAAATCAACACTTTAGATAGTAAATATTTATGGGCTACTGGAAAATTTGTCCCACGAATAATATTCGTGGACTCAATGTGAGTAACACAAAATAATAAATATAAAATTTAGAACCGTGCTTAAATCGATAACGTCTAGGTAACAAAGTTAGAATTTTTATCTTGCATTTTCAAATGTAATATAATGAGACCTAACTACCAATACCCGTGTATGAAGGAAGATGGCATCCTATACCACAGAAAAAGAGAAAATCAGTTGTCATCGAAAATCTGTCCAATCACCGCGACCTCCTTTCAGACTGACACTATTATTTGGTCCATGGCGATGAAGACGATATTCATGACCCAAATACTCTGATGTACTACTTTTGTAAGCAAAAAGGAAATAAATGGATGAAAATCAAATTCATATATGATGAAACAATTTACTAAGTGTTTATAAATATTTATTTTTTCGTTTCAGAAGCATATTCTGAGTCAAGTATACATAGAGAAATAATACTGGGATATGTTTCGGGATTCTAGTTTGTTTCGGTAAATATTTAGTCACCATTATTTTGCGAGAATTAACACCTTGGATAATAAATGTTTACGGGCTACTGGAGAATTTATCCTACAAACAACATTAGCTGACTCAATGTGAGTCCAAGTAAAAAATGAATAACACAAAAAATAAATATAAAACAAACGACAATGTATATGTTTACAAAAGGAAGTACATGTGTTGAAAGGAAAAAAACATGAAACTAGATATAATAAGAATGTGTTTGTTTGTGTGGGCGTGCATGCGTGTGTAATAACCGTGTATAAAAGAGTACAAAAGCCAAGAAAGAAAAACATGAAAATGAACGTACCCCAATGGGGGACTGTTTTTACTCACCTGTGACTACACCTGATGTCAGAGATAAAAAGCTGTAAAAGAGAGGCTAAGAAGAGAAATGCGCACCTTTTTGTACATTTAAGGAGTGCCTAAAGTCAAGTGGGATAACTCAAACATCAAGTAACTTCAGTTTCTAATAGATTTGTAAGCATTTCTGAGATACACGATGCGACAGAAATACATCCCACATAATGGTAAGACATTAGTAGCAATGGTGTCTTCATCTAGGTAATGTCTTACTATTATGTGGGAGGTGCTTCTGAATTGGCTCCTGTTCTCTCTAAACTAAACAATAAATGCCTCGCCGCCTCTTGCTTCCCTACTTGTTAGAAATCCTCCTGTGATGTTTCAGTCTTTAAGAACTCATTTGAACCGTCTGACCCTCCGAACTATCGGCTTATTATCCTTCTACCTCCCTCTGGCAATATACTAGAGGTCCTCAGTCAGTCAGTTATGTGCCATGCGTGACACGCGCTTAGGCGATCATGTATCTTTCGATACATGACTGACGATGCAGATTTTTTTCCCGCAGTAGGTTGCCATTTCTTTCTGCGGTAGATCAGTTGCCTGCCATCCAAGGCTATAGAACCATAGCGGAGGTGGGAGAAGAAGAGGATTCATGCCTTTCCCAAGGGTATTAGAACGTAAGCGAATACCATGGATTCGATTGCTCAATCCGAGCCGCTATCCATAACTCCACCGTGCCTTCTAGTTAGCTCTGAATTGGTTAGTCATCTCACATAGAATGGCTTTCTTTCAGAAAAACAATGAATAAATTTATTGAAACAAAACAAGTTCAGTTGACCACTGATGACAATTCCAGAACAACGTAACTATAAAGAATTTTTTTCTATCCTCTGCCAGCTGCAATGATGGAGAAAGCATTACCTCGAACAATGAGACACGCTGCAAGAGCCACTCCGTTTCGCAAGGCTCGTCCCTTAATCGAAACGCAATCGCGCCAATCCTCCGAAGGAACGCCATCGAACGAGGGCCAATAACCCCAGAAGTCTCCACTGCCACAGGAGTAAAAAAAAAAATCTATCAGCAAGAGAAGAATATTTAACTATTTTTTTTATCTCTGCTTCCCGGGCAATAGATCCCGGCTCAACCGCAGAACTATAATATGAATTTTGCTTCTCTAGGTCAACTGCTGATGTATTAACGACTAAAGAGTCTATCAAGTTTTAGACAAGACTGCTGAAACTCGGGCTGTTACTTTGAACATCTCGAAAGCATTTGACAGGGTTCGGCATACCGGACTTCTACACAAGTTGAAAGGTTATGGTATCTTTTTGTACTAATGCAGATGTCCTCTAAGGTTCTATCCTTGATCCTACTTTGTTCTTAATTTTTTTATCCATGACCTTCCTTATGACATCAGTTATCAACTTAGTATCTATGCTAATGACACTTTCATTTACTAATGTCTCAAGAATAAAGTTGGTTCTCTGTGTAGCGCCAGAAGTTTTTTCTTGTCTGAGTCAAATCTACAAATCAACCATTCGTCCTTGCATTGAATACTGTTGCCTTATATGGTCTGGTGCCCCCGCTGTTCATCTCGAGATCCTCGACAAGATCCAGAGACGGATATCTAATGTGATAGGTCCTGATCTGACATCTCGTCTACAGTCATTTTCTCACAAACGTTCTGTGGCTTCCCTCTGTCTTTTCTACAAATATTTTCACAACTGCTCTGACAAGCTACTTTCACTGGTTTCCAAACTGCATGAATTTAGGCGTGCTACTAGGTTGGCGTCTCAATTCCACCCTTTCACTGTCGAAACGATTAAATGTAGCCATTTCTTCTACTCCAACAGCTTCTTATATCGCACTTACGACACTGGAACTCCCTTCCTCTTACTGATAACTATAATCTTCAAATATTCAAATGTAATGTCAATCGACATCTTCTGATGCCTTGATCTTGATCTCCATCCTTCTCTTTATTCTTTCCTCTAACACCTTTACTCTTACTCTCACTCTCTGTAACCCCTCTGCGTGCTAGTGGCACTCCCACCTTGCTTGGGGTGATATGCTTGGGGTGATATGCTTTAAAGAGTCTGATCAGTTCGAGAAGGTCAAATAGATAGCTGATCTAAAAAAAATGAGCTAGTCTGTTGTCAAGTGGAGGCAAGGATTGGCATTTAACGCCTCCAAAACGAAACTTCTCTCTATTAATCATCTGAAATACTTCATTCTTCCTAACCTCAAGCTGGCTGATGATAACCTCCATTCGTCTCGCCTCATCGGGCTGACATTCTCGGCTGGCATGAAGTGGAATCTGTTGCTAGGTCTACTGCTGAGAAAGTTGTTTCCCTGTGTCGTGCTAGTCAACTTTTCTCTCCAGAATCTATCATACATATTTATATGTCTACCATTCGTCCTATGAATATTGCTGCCACATATGGTCCGGTGCTCCTGCTATATATTTAGAGATTCTTGATAAAATCGAAAGAAGAATCAGCAATATTATTGGTTCTGACCTGGCGCCTCGATTTCAGTCATTTTCCTACCGCCGTAAATTATCTTTCCTGTGCTTTTTCTATAAATACTTTCATGGTAATAGTTCGGATTAGCTCTTCGTTATGATGCTTAAACTTTATGAATTTAAGTACAGTACTAGATTGGCGGTAAGGTCTCATCAATACATAGTTGAATTGAAGAGAGGTAACTGTAAGTTCTATACTAAATTTCTTTTCTCGCACTTCTCGCTTGTGGGACTTCTTTTCATCTTCAGAAATTTAAATGCAATGTCATCTACTGTTTTCTTGATTACTCTTCTAATGTTCTCGCTCCTTAATAAAGTTTCTCTTTTCTTCTTATTCTTTCACACTCAGTAATCCCTTTTGTCTTGGTGGATTTACTGCCTTGCATGAATTGAAATGATTAACAAAAGATATTTCTGTCGCACCATGTATAAACAATTCTGAGGAAGCCGTCTATTATATCCGGAAATAATTCTCTCAGTTATTGTTGACAAAATCAGTCAACCACAAAGTTTATTTAAATGAAATTAGAAAATATCAAATAAATTGTAATTTCAAGTCAATACTTTTCGTATTAAATGTGCTGTTGTATTTTCATGTGTAAATGAGTTGATTTACACAAGAGAGAGAAATTTAACAGGTGAAAGAATGAACAAACAGGAGGGTAATTAATTAATAGTTTCATAAACAACAACATATACAAGAAGTAAAAGAGGCGATTGCAAGCTTCATTTGAGCTTGCAGAGCCAAACTGGTTTTAAAAGAAGAGTCCGCTTAACTTGATTCAAACATCCTGGGGTTGAGTATAAGTATCCTTTTTGTCGCCATTGTCGCCAGAACTTCGTCGTTGCTCAGATGTTCTGTCCATGGTATTCTCAGCATCCTTCTGTAGAATCACATAAAAAATTAAAAACAGGAGAAAACAACAAGAAAGTATTCTACTATCTTTCTCAGGAAGTCATAGTAATTCGCATTTATTAAAAAAAAAGAAAGTTATTGAAAGCCATGACCGCTTACACCCTGACATTAAAAACATCGTGTTAACTTTTTTTTATAATGAACGTACTAACGTAATACTGAATGTATAATAGTAAATGTAAGTTATTTGAATTTGCATATCTTTATTATCGACCGGGTATTATTATTATTTTATATTTTATATTATTATAAAAAACCCTGTCCCAAAAGCGATGACAATAAACAATGACTTCTGATGCACGCTCACACTTTCATTTAACAATATATTTTATGACCTACATTCATTTTATCTGATAGCTAATCAAGCAAGTTTTTTTTTCTTTTCTTGCCAACGCAGTAACTAGATGGATTTTTTTCCCTCAAGATCTTATCTTCTTACGCTCTACAGTTGAGTGTTAAGATAATGGGAGAAATAATAGAATACAATAAGATTTTGATTTCGTGTCTTTTTCCAATTCTGAAATAAGACAAATGTAAATACGACACCAATTCCTCTGATTCTAACCTTGAACATGACATCGTGAAATCAATTTGATAAACAACCTCGTATATACTATCCTTTACTAATGACGTTGCAAGAACGGCCGGCTCTTTGTACCGCTCCAGCAAATACCTGTATCCGCTTGCTAAATGTCATCCTTACAAAACCAGTTTAAGCCAAAAATGGATTATTGCTGCCACATATGAACCGGAGCTGTCCAATCCGCCATTTCCAGCTTCGACCAAGTTCAAAGCCGTTTGCACGACTTTTGGTGGTGGTGATTTTTTTCTATTCTACAACCCCTTTCCCCACAGACGAAAGGTGGCTTGTCTCTCGTAGTTCTACCGCTTTTTTCATGATGTATTTTCTAGCGGACTACATTCCACCAGTCCAGACTTACCCAACTAGGAACCGCTATGTCACGTACACTGAGTTAATACATCCTAATTCCCTTCATATTTCACTTGTAAGGAGTAAGTTTCAGTCAGACAGCTTTTTTCTAGAATTGTTGCATTGTGGAACGAACTCGCAAGGATGTTTTCCTGGTCACTACAATCTCAAACTCTCCAGAGTCAATCGTTATTTATCCTACGTATACTCTTAATATGCAACTCTTGCTCCCTCTCTATACGCCCTTACAACATCCTCATTCAGTAACTCTCTACCTTGAGTTGGACTCGGGCCTTGTATTGGGTGAATAATAGTAAAACAAACTATGAATTGTATGAATGAATTAATAAACTTAAACAAAAAAGAGGATTAATTACTAGTTGTGAGAGGTGGCGTATAATGATTTTCGTTGACCACTATTTCCTAATTCTTCACTCTTTAGATCAGCAGGAAATTGAATCAAAAATCCAAATCAAATTTATAGTAAAATTTGGTTGGAAGTGTTATATTCCTCTGCTATTAGATCTGATACACGGTACATGTCGGCCTGATGTTAGCGCTAAGAAAGCAAAATACAAAATAAAAAAGTCATTTTCTGCGCATGGACTCCGAGTATCATATCCAATCCACAGAACAAATCCCCGCAATAAAAATAAAACAGCAGCCAATCACGAATGTTCCCACCGGAAAAAAGATGACCCTAAGGATTACCAAATTTGCTTAAAAAATGACCCTCGTAACGAGTTGCGGACCAAAAGGACACCTGTCAGCACGTCGTAAACTTAAAGAAAGGCGTGCATCAAATCCCCATCAACAGTTAATCCACTATGGACCTATCCTCTGACCCCCAACTCTGACCACGGCCAACCAACCCAAGAAATTAGTCAACTCCCGACCCTACCGACAACACCCTTACACCTAATTGCTTTCCTTACCAACGAAAACTAAAGAACGACATATTAAAATTTTTTGCCGAATTTCAATTTGAAGGTGGTGTAATGGATAGCCGAGTTCGAATTCCAGTTGAATCCATTACATTCACTTACGTACTAATAACCTTGGGAAAGGTATGAATCCTCTTCTTCCTCCAACTATGGGTAAATAGCAGGACAGACTGGGTTCTATAGCCTTGGATGGCAACTGGTCTAACACAGAAAGAAATGGCAACCTACTGCGGGAAAAAATCTGCCTTGTCAGTTATTTATCGAAAAATACATGATCGTCTAAGTGTGTATCACGTATGGCACATAACTGACTGACTTGTACATATGTATAATTAACGAATATACGCTGTTGAAAATATAATCCTTGTTTGTTCATTTCCTTTGCAACCAAAAGCTTGTTATGACAGAAGACTGAGGACATTATTGGAACTGTGAGATAAATTCATGGGGACAATTCCCCGAAAAAAAGCAGCCCTTTACAAAAATTGTTTCAAAGAAGTATGAAATGAATTTGAAGATGACGAACATATCAGCAAATCATCTGCATCGGTTTATGTGGAAAAAATCTATGCTATTTAAGATTTAATTGACAGCGACTGTTAATAACAGAAATAATCGCTAATATCCTAGATGTGTGAGCAGTGGTGTATAGGATCTAAAAATATTGGTTGCCAGGAGACAAAGGAGACCCACCCAGAACTACAATACTATAATTTTATTTTCATTAAGAATAAATAAAACCACCCAGCACCCTCCTTTTCACATCCATTTAACATCGCTTCGTTTAAATACACTGAATGATTATTTGTTTGTTTGTTTATTTATTGCTTTTTTTTTTTTTTTTTTTGTATTGCGCTTTTTAAAAACAATTATGTTTTGTTAAGTTAGAATACAAAAATCAGGAAAGAAATTAGAGATCTCTTTATCGAATTAATTATCAAATCAGAAATTCACGTGCCTTTTCTTGACTCTCCTGGCTCGGTAGTAGTGCTTGATATCCTTTGAAGTTGCTGACCATATCAAATCACAAATTGTATCTTTAAATTCACACACTCTTTCCGAAAACATGAAATTTCTTTAATTATACCCGACCCTGGCGCCCTTATTTAACATCTTTCCACCACATACTTTGCTTCGCTCCTTTTCTTATGTACTGCTTATTTGTATGCTGTTCTTTTTTTTCTTTCTGTTCGTTGGGTACCAAAAATGTTGCGTCCAAACCAGTAACAGATGAGAGCAGAGCTTTCAATGGAAACTTTTAAGAAATATGATCAAAACCGGCAGGTTTACTGAGGCGATTTGTAACTGGAGATGAAATTTGACTTTACCAGTTCGATCCTGAAGACAAATCTCAATCAAAGCAAATGAATACCTAAAGGCGGAAAGTGTCCATTCACAGCAAATGAATACCTAAAGGTGAAAGTGTCCAGTTAAAGCAATGAATACCTAAAGGCGGAAAGTGTCCAGTCAAAGCAAATGAATACCTAAAGGCGGAAAGTGTCCAGTCAAAGCAAATGAATACCTAAAGGCGGAAAGTGTCCAGTCAAAGCAAATGAATACCTAAAGGCGAAAGTGTCCAGTTAAAGCAATGAATACCTAAAGGCGGAAAGTGTCCAGTCAAAGCAAATGAATACCTAAAAAAGTGTCCAGTCAAAGCAAATGAATACCTAAAAAAAAGTGTCCAAAAATGAATACCTAAAGGCGGAAAGTGTCCAGTCAAAGCAAATGAATACCTAAAGGCGAAAGTGTCCAGTTAAAGCAATGAATACCTAAAGGCGGAAAGTGTCCAGTCAAAGCAAATGAATACCTAAAGGCGGAAAGTGTCCAGTCAAAGCAAATGAAAGCCGTTTAGGGGAAAAAGTTGTGACGATAATTTTCTCAGATGCTGAGAACATTTTGCTAGTTGACTTTTTAGGGGCGTGAAAGACTAACATCTTATTACGAAAGCGTTTTAAGAAAATAAGTTAAAACTTTTGTAAAAGATCAATATGGAGAGCTTCATCAGAACACGCATTTCCACTATGCCAATGATTCTGCCCATTCTTCTCATAAAACAAGGAAAATATTGCGAGAATTATCGGAAATCACTAGACACCTTGTGTGGCGTATTACTTTTTTCTTATATCTAAAATTAAAGATATTTTTTAAAGGTACCTGTTTTAAAACCATTAATGACGTTAAAAATGCTACTTTGATATGGTTAAATTCTCAGGACCCCCCACTATAAATGTCTGGTATCATCGCTTATAGAAATACCTTGATGTTAGCGGTGCTTATACGGAGAACCATATATAGAGATTGCGTTCTGTATATGTGTATATATATATATATATATATATATATATATATATATATATATATGTGTGTGTGTGTGTGTGTGTGTGTGTGTGTGTTGAACTCTTTCTAATGTAGCTTTTTGACATACCTCTGAAATATTTACATGCTGGCTATTTAAATTATTAATATTTGAACGGTATTACAATTTAACTGAATTTACCGAAAAACTGCTCATGTATTTCAGTAAATTTTGCAAGTTTCAACTAACAGGTCAAAGATTGGTACGTAAAACCTTTGATGAAGTCAACCAAATGAATCTTCTTGCATTCTATCGAAAAATTTGCCTGTTCTTCATGTCTCTCCTTAAAGAAAGAACTTTAAAAACAGAGGAAATTTTATAACATCAGGTGTTATGGTGGGTGGTGGGGGTTATCTTAGGATGATGCCCGTATAATCTGTCTAGTAATGAAATAATAATAATAATAATAATAATTTTTCTCAAGTAGGATGGCAGAATACTTGCTATAAAAAATAGCATGTTGGGCTGGCCTTTATTTGAGCTAGGACATTGGCAGGAGATACGAACTCATTGTTACATCATTCAGAGCATATTCATTAGGGCAGTGATTCTCAACCGCCGTGCCTCAGCACACTGGTGTGTTGCGTGATCCTCTTAAGTGTGCCGCGAAATATTTTCTCGGCTTACATATATATGTATATGTGGAAGTAGTAATGGTGCAGTATTAGTATTTGAATAAATGAATAAGTATTAAACATCAAATAAGAAGTGAGAAAGACTACGCTCATCCGAAGAAGAAAAGAGGGTCTGCTTATCGCTCATTCGACCAAACACTGAAGAAATCGCGAAAAAACATCTGACATAGGTTTCACACTAAATAAGCTGCACAAATACTTGAATAGAGACATTGAAATAAAGTAAGTTCATATTTGTGCGTGCATTTTTTAATCTGTGGTTTTATTTCATAACATTTAAATGTATACCCTTTAAAAATTTTGCTAAGTCTGCCTTCATATTTTCATTTTCATCTAGGTGTGCCGTTTCTTAAAAGAGTTGAGAAACACTGCATTAAGCGTACAAGTATCAATCAATCAGTGTTTATATTTTGGTAACGCTTTATTTAAAAACTGTGGGAGATCATTTTGATTACTATTTATCACAATTTTTTTATTTTGAATTAAAATGATATTGAATTATATATTTATTTTCGTCTTACCACAGGTGCTGGCATTGCATTTAGTTATGGTCCGTGTTTGGTGAACATTAGTCATTACTTCAAAAGGTATCGTGGAACAGCCAACGCCCTTGTGTCTTGTGGGTCAAGCATTGGCCAGTTTTTATTCTCGCCTCTAAGAATATTTCTTATAACTCAGTATGGCGTTAATGGAGCACTGCTCGTGAACTCTGCTCTCTTCTTGCAGTGTATTGTATTTGCGATGTTGCTAAGACCTATGAGCTATTTTGAAAATAAATCCTGTAAGGGTATGTATTCATCAGTGATGCTTTCCTGTAGAAATTCCGATGAGATTAACACAGAGAAATTCATCGAACAGCACACTGATCCAGAGACAGAAATATGCGAGAATGCTGATGCAAACATTTTAAAAGCGAATTCTGAACAAGAAGAGAAAAAATCGCTTTTAATGAAAGAGAAAGTTCTCACTGGAACAAAAACAGAAAAGACGAAGTATAACGCAGAAAAAGAAAAAAATGATTTGCATTCTATTCCAAACAATACACTCGTCGACAATGAAAAAAACAAACATGATGAGATAATTTGCATCCAAACGGAAATAAAAAAGACAACTTCAGTTTCCGTTCTGCCAAGCATGAACAATGACTTTATCCAAAAGAAACAAAATCCAAAATGGAGGCAACTTCTCAGCAATGTTGATTTCAAACTATTTAAAGAAAAAAAATATATTATATATTTTTTTGGTGCCGCCATAAGCCAAATCGTTTCTTCTTCACCTCAAAATTACTTTCCTCCACACGCAGAGGACATTGGCCTTGGTCAAAAGGAAGGAGCATTCTTTGTAGCGATTGCTGGATTTGCGGATTTCGGTGGACGAATATTAACTACGCTGATCGCAGACAGAAAATGTTTGAATAGATCACGATTTCTTGGCTCAGTCCTTCTTTCACATGGAATTTTAGGATGCTTTGTTCCTTTAGGGAGAAATTTGTGGGCTTTTTCGGCTTACTGCATTTATTACGGTGCCTCTGGAGGGATACTGTTTGCACTTTTGCCCACTATACTTGCAGACTTTATCGGCGAACACAGACTTTCTCAAGGTCTTGGGTTGATGTACTTATTCACTGGCCTACTAGCGTCTTTGTATTACCCATTTTTCGGTGAGTTAAACCGTTTTAATTTATATTTTATCCTTCAATATATTTTTAATTTTGCTTAATATTTCAAAATTAAATATATAAGTTCTGCACGACACACTTTGATGCAGAAAATGCAAATATAACATGTTTTTGGAGAACTGTTTATTCTATTTTTCACAGAATTAAGAAATCTTGATATATATCATAATGTTAATTTACTTGATTTTTCTCAGATGAATTTCTATAAATGCTACGAAATTGTTTTGCTATAATTCTGCAGTTTCAACAAACAGATCAAACAAAGAATGCTACTTGAAACTTTTGATGAAGTCAGCCAAAAGAATTTTCTTGCATTCTATCGAAAAAGTCGTCTGTTCTTCATGTCTCTCCTTAAAGAAAGAATTTTAAAAACAGAGGAAATTTTGTGTTATGGTGGGTGGTAGGGGTTATCTTAGGAGAATGCCCGTTCCTACCATTTGTGTAAGGATTGAAAGAAAATTTATAGAGCGTTAATATATACAAAATAATTTTAAACTATATACAGAAGGATAGAGTGAAATTTGGAGGTTCAAGAGTTCAAATGCAAATATTCTGGTGCATATAAGAGAGAGAGAGAGAGAGAGAGAGAGAGAGAGAGTAGATATGTCTGTAAGTATTCAGCTGTAGCAGCCGCCTTCTTAGACAGTAAATATCACGGAATGGTTTTGTCATGCATACTAAACGTAAGAATAACAACCATAGATATTGAATGAACAAATATTATATATATATTGAATTCGCAATAAATGTCCATCATTCCCGTAAAAACTTTGAAAAGCTTAGAAGACCTGAAGCACTATCGTGTGTTAGCACAGGTCAGGAATGTTTGGAAATAACTGATAAGAGATATTTACAATGTTGTTGAAAATCAGAAGTCACACAGATCTGCAGCGTGCCTTCAATTCAAGACAGGTGATGATTATTATAATTATTCAAAATTTTACATGAATAGAATTTAAAGCAGTCTTTTTCTAATTACATTTTCGGTTTTTCTAATCTAACTTTTTTGTGGCTGGCGTTACAATGTCAGATTAACTTTTACCCACAAAAACTAAGATTGACGAGTTAGAATTATTTCCATACCCGAAAACTCTAAAAGATTGCATTGTTTTTTTTTTTTTTTTTTTTTTTGTGGTGGGGGTTCTTTTGGTGGAGGGGGAGTTCGTTAGAAGTAAGAGAAAGAATTCTGATCTGCAATAATGTAATATCAATCCTTCAATATGGATGCCGGACAATTTCCTCAAAGATGAAGATGAAGACTTGAATCAACAGAATTTTTCAGAAGGATGCAGAGAATATCATGAACGAAAAGAAAGGGGATACATAATATTGGAGTCAGGAAAAAGTTAAAATTTCTGGAATACATAACAAGAAAAGAAAAGTCTGGGAATGTCACAGCACATATTGAAAACAAGAAAAGAGGGAAACAATGAGTAACCTATCTAACGGCGTTGTATAAATGGATGACAAGACAGGAACTAGAAAGAATAATAAAAGGACAGATATTTCTTTGAGCTACAAAGGATAATAGGTTTTAGAGAACTACGATAGCCCACATCCTGAAGGGATACGGTACATAAAAGAATAAGAAGGGTTCTATGTAAAGCTTATATTTGATTATGCTTAGATTATGTTCCCCCTGTCTGAGGATTTTTTTCTTCAAAGTTTCTTTTGAATTAATTCGCTTTGATTTCTGGATAGATGAGACGTGCACACTCAGTGTATCACGCCTATGCCTTCTTTTCTGGATTATTTGTCCCTTCATTAAAGGTGCTGGAGCTAAACGTTTTCTGGATTTGAGCGTTATCATCCTGATAGTCAAGAATCCGAAACTATGAGTAACTGTGAATGGTTCTGGACTGTGCAGTAGTCTCCGGTGGGGCCTCTGTATTCCATGATGGAGGGTACTGATAAGGCTGTAGGAGTAGCTAGGTTTGCTTATCGGCCAGTTCACACTCCACCCCAATTTTTTGAACAGAAGTTGAGGCTTATCCCTTGTTTCCTGTTTAGGACTGGGTTTCCGGTTCCTTCTAAAGTCTACTTCAACTTTATTATACTTTTAACGTCTCTGCCTAAAACTCCGGACTTTTATTTACAACTAAACAAGTTACCCGCGCCTTGCTGCGTGTCAATGATGATTGATTTTAAATTATTGTTATAATTTGTGGAGAAAAATAATGCATTCCAATATTACTCAATGATCTTGCCGATGTGACCTCCATCTTCTGGCTTTCTCTTTCTATATTTTGGATAGGAGTCATTCCCTTGTTCAAATTTAAATTTAATTTAAATTTAAAAAAATCCAGAGGTGGAGTTGGGCTTTCCGGGGACCCCTTTGATGAAAATGAAATATACTTATCCAAGTACCCTAGGTGTCATTCCCTTGTTCAGATTTAAATTTAATTTATATCAAAACGAAAAAATTTTCAGTGGGGATGCCCTCCGGGAACCCTCTTAAATCAAAATGAAATATGTTTATCCAAGTACCCTGGGTAATGTAGTTTCAGAATATATGTGGTCATGTGGGTCTATCTCAGTAAACCTTAGGAGAAGTTCGATAACAGACAGACAGAAAGAGGCTACAACTTTATATAGAGAGATTTATTTACATTTTTTTCCTCAATAGGAGTAAATAGGTTTGCCTATCTTTCGTTTCACATACCTTCTCAATCTTTTAAACAGGAATAGTATATCTCTTGTTTCCTGTTTAGGGTTGGGTTTCCGATGTGGTGCCTCTTACTTTGTAACCCTCTTCATCGAGTGGCTCTTAGACCTGTAAAGGGTGAATATCATTGTAAAAAACTTTCACGAGTAATCATTGGATAGGATAAATGAATATCATGTCAAACTGTAATTTGAAATTTGCTCTGAAATAATACTTTTGAATTTATTCTTTGTGAATTTAGTCTTTGGTATTGAAGTATCACTGTATGACTTCTCATTGAGTCTACGTGCTCGCTCACTGTGACTTCTACAACGCTGTTACCTCACCCTCACTCTTCCGGTTACCTACAACCTTTTACTCTGTCACTCTGGACTCGACTCGACTCTTGGGTCTTGCTCTGTCGGGTCTTCACGTAGCCGTAGTATATGTATATACTGGGTGAGTCCATTTGTGTAAAAAAGGAGAGAACCCCTCAACAACAACTCAAACACACGAGCCACAGAATGTCTACGATTAACGACGTCAAGAAGTAGGATAACTTACTTATCCATTAACTCTCGCATCTAAAAGCAGTAATGTGGAATATTCAAAAGTTTGATAAAGTACGTCACAAAGAATTGTTGGAACTACAATGTAACTTTGACATATTTGAGAAGGATATTAGAATAATCCAAAATCTATACTGGAAGCAAACTGCCTGCATACGGATAGAAAATGAACTCAGTAAATATACAAAAATAGAATGCGGTGTAAGACCAGGATGTATTTCCTCCCCGGACTTATTCAACCAATATAGTAAGGCGATGATGTGAGAATTAGAAGTCCGTCCAGGATTCATTATTGATGGACACAATCTTAACAACATAAGATATGCAGATGACAGTGTTGATAGCAGCCATCACAAGAATTCCTACAGAAGGTAGTGAAGGAAAGCGAGAAGAAAGGACTAAATATCAATTGCAAGAAGACAAAATTGCATGGTTGTTAGCAAAAAGCGCAGCTCAAAATGAAAACTATAAATTGGAGATACCAAGATGAAACAAGTACAATAATATAAATATCTAGTAAATGTTTTAAAGTGCGACACTAAAATACGAAGGCGCATTGGGTTAGCGAAACTGCCTTCCAAAAGCTAAGCAAAATTTTAGGAAACAAAGACATATTACTGAACTGTTACATAATATCAGTTCTCCTCTATTGCAGAGAATGCTGGACAGTCTCTTCACATATAAAGAAGAGACTAAAAGTAACAGAAATATAGTTTTACAGAAGGATGCTGTGAATATCATGTACAGAATACGTGAGCAACGACAAAGGTTTAGAGAAGATGGAACAAAAGAGACACATACATAACATCAGAAAGAGACAGTTGAAACTTTCTATGGCACAAAATGAGGAAAGAAGTCTTGAAAAATTTGATACTCATAAGTCAGATTTAAAGCAAGAGGAAGAGAGGAAAACAACGCATAACCTATTTAACTAGATTGAGTAAATGGATAGCGGAACAAGCTTTATGGGATATAACAAAAATAGAAAATTTCTTAAGAGCTACAAGGGACAGGGAATTAAGAAGAGCTATGATCGGCAACGTCCTGAAGGGACACGGCATATAGAAGAAGAATCTGGGATCTCATTATGTTTTGGATTTTATATTTCATGTTATTTGTTGCTTACTAGTTTTTTTTGCGATAACAGAAGTTGAGCAACATCGAACCTTGTCAGTACCTAGATTGATGACCGCTTAGGAATATCAGGTGTTGTAAGATTGGATTTGCTGGTGGTGTAACGGATAACGGCTGGGAAATAGAAATCGGAGAGCCGAGTTCCAATTCCAGCCGGGTTCGTTATATCCACTTACGCGCATCTGGGAAAGACATGAACCAACAGGGTTATTAAGTAGGACTTGTATTAGTAAATCATTATTCTCTCCAAAATGTTCCTTAATTTTTTTTTTTTTTTTTTTTTGGCTTTAAATAAGCTGCAAAAGGTTGATAATTCGTAACAAACAAACCCATCAATATTGATTATCGTTGTTTTATTTTTATTTTTCTTCAGGTTACATCCGGGACTTAACAGAATCCTATGATGTAGGATATGTAATAAACAGCGTTGCTCTGATTGTCAGTGGAGTTCTGTTCCTGTCTGAAGCTTGTGTAAAATATAAAAAATCACCCGGGAGTGATAACTAAAATACATAATACTAAATGAAAGAAACTGCATCATAACTTCTATTAGTTATAAACAGTTGAAGCAAAAAATTCCTATATTTAACTTTTGCCTCGTAAGTAATTTAAAAAAAAAAACCTTGTCAATGGTTAAATGCTGTCTTCAAACAAAGAAATCAACATGTTACGTCATGGAATTGTACAAAATTAATAAAATTTACTCTTGCAACAGATACTGAAGAATCCCTTAGTGATACAAAACTTGCGCATAGCATGAAGAATCGAATACATATTAAAAATTACTACATGAATAAAATGTGGTGTAAGTCGCCTTATGCGGTCAGCTTTTCGATCAACTCTTATCAAAGCGGATCGTTGATAAATTTTAAATGATTAAACAATAAAAAGAAATTACCAATAAATCCCTAAGTGCTAAAACTGTTTCAAACGACTGCTTCAAAATTCTATGCTTTTCACATTAGTCATTTCATTTGAAGATCCTTGAATCTCTTTTTTTTTAATTCTAAACGACAGCCGTTATTTTGTAAGCAAACAAGATTTTTTGATTTGCTGAAATACCTGGTATAAAAATCGTCATGGACAGCACGTGAACCTACGTCGTCGATATTCTTATGTTCTAGTGGGACGAATATTTTGCTAGATAAAATAGACTAGCGTGGAAATTGTTTGGCCGTATCTTTCTTCCCGTTGTCTTTCATTATATTGAAAGCAAGACCCCAAGCCCATTGTTGGTGGTGGGGAGAATGAACGCCCCCCACCTTTCCAGCTCTGTGTTCTTTGAAACAAAAGAGCTTGGTGATAAAAAGTCAGCATCAACTATTCACTGACAATGGAAGACGGCGAATATGAACACTAACTGCCATATGTAAGTAAAATTATATGCCATATCCACAATGCTGGATAACCAATTTTTTTTTTAAGATAAGACAATGAAACTTATACTAAGTTAAAATTTAATGTAATAGAAGGGAAAAATACAAATAAAATCCCATTCCTGTTCCTTGGTAAATACGTCTTCAGGTGTCAGCTTGGACTCCTCAGCTGCAGTCATTTTCTTTTTTTGTCGTTGTTGTTTGTGTTATATGTAATAGTAGTTAGGCTTTCCTACCGTCCGTTCAATACTCCGCCCCCCTTCTCTTGGACAAGAGTAGAGGCTCACACCTTGTTTCTTATTTAAGAAGGGGTTCCCGGAACACTCCCTCTCTTTCTCTCTGGCCTCTGTACTAGTACTACCGTGTTTCTCCCGTGATGTGTGCAGTCTGTGGCATTACCTCTTCATTCTGAGGGTACACGGTTGACAGTTTTCTGGTTGCTGTTTCCGATTGGTAGTTAGGAGCCCTAACTCTTGCGTAGTGTCTTGAGCGGCCGCTCTGAATAACAGTTGTATAATACCGGGGTGTCTGTAGTGCCATGTCACGCATGGAAAGGTGTCACTGCATTCATCTTCGGTGGGTAACTCTGAGGCAACTCTATGTTGCAGGCTGTGCCAACTTCTCTCTGCCCAAATCACAGTCGATAACCGTCTGCTTCTTTTACGCCAGGCCTTCTTATTTTTACAACCATAATTTTACATGATAACTAACGACTATCCAAAAAGAAAACCTAAACCAGCCCTTAAAAAAATCACCTAAACCCTTTAACATTTCATTTTCTAACATCCGTGGCATTAGAACCAATTTCTGCAGTGTGGAATCTTTCCTCATTGCGAACTGCCCGGATATACTGGCTCTGTGTGAGACCAAACTTGACTCGTCTATCCTCTCCTCTCACCTCTCGATCCCCGGCTACCTTCTTCTCCTTAGAAAAGTCTCTCAAACCCACATGCATGGCCTTGCAGTTTACGTCAAGGACCATCCGCTGGCTAGAGAGTTGTTTCTTGAATCTCCAGACCATTCGTACATGTGTCTCCGGCTCTTCTCAATGCTGTAAGCTACCTCTTCTTCCTTTATCGCTCTCCATCCTCCCAAGACTGTGGTATAATCAAATTCATTTATGACAACATTGACAAGGCTCTCTCTCATTCCGTTTGCTCACATATTCGTGTTTGGTGATTTTAACGCCCATCATACCAAATGGCTTAAAAACGCTACTACTGACCTTGCAGGCATTCAAACCCTTAATTTTTCAATTTTTCAATTTCTCAATCCCTCACGCAGATAGTTGACTTCCCCACACGTTTTCCCTACAACCGGAATGGTAAGGCTTCTCTTCTTGATCTATGTTTTACCTCCATCCCCGAGTCCTGAATCGCCACGCAGCTCTGCCCTCTTGGCAACTCCGATCATGCTGTAGTGTCTGTCAACATCTCCTTCAACTCCACCCCCCTGCAAAGAACCTCCTACCACTAGAAACTCGTTCTGCTATCAACGAGCAGACTGGGACTCGTCCCTGGATTTCCTTCGCGATGTCCCCTTGGATGTTGTCTTTATGCTCCCCATTCAAGAATGTGTTTCCGATGTCTCCTCCTGGGTTAAAGCTGGAATCGAGGCTTACATCCCCTCAAGAAAATATAAGGTCAAATCGCGCTCCTCTCCCTGGTTCTCCGCTGCTTGCTCAGCTGCCATTGCCTATATGAATCACTTCTTCCACCTATATCGTAGCGACATGTCTAACTGCAGTAGACGTCTCTGCCAGTAACGAATGCAAGCGTGCCCTCAATGAAGCAAAGTCACTATTTGCTGCTCGAATGAAAGAACGTATTGCATCTCGCAAATTCGACTCCAAGGATTATTGGCGTCTCTGCAAGAGCGTACTTAACAATAGCAAACCCTCTATACCTCCTTTGTTCAACTAGTTCGAGGTTCTGACCTCTTCTGCCGACAAGGCTGAATCCTTTGCTTGAAATTCTAATTCAATTCAACACTCGACTCTTCCGGTGTACCCACACACAATTTCCCCCTTAGAACTGAGGCTCTGTTGAGCGAGTTGCACATAACCCTTCATCGGTATTGGGCATTATCTCTAATTTAGACCCCCACAAGGCTAGTGGTGGAGATGGGATTCCAGCCATTGTCCTGAAGAAATGTGCGTCTGAACTGGTTCCTGCCCTCTCCAAATTATATAACTACTGCCTCAATGTTTTCCAGACTGTTGGAAGTCCTCATACATTGTTCCTGTCTTTAAGAACTCTGGTGACCCCTCTGACCATTCTAATTACCGTCCTATCAGTCTCCTACTCCTCTTCGACAAAGTCTTCGAAGCTTTAATCAACGCCGTAGTGGTTAAGAACCTTACATCCCATGATCTGCTCTCCGACAAGCAATATGGTTTCCGCTTTGCCCGTTCTACAACTGATGTGCTTACGGCAATCACTGAAATTGTTTACCAAGCTCTTCATAATAACGGAGAAGCTCGTGCCGTGGCTCTAGATATCTCCAAATCGTTTAATAGGGTTTGGCATGCCGGCCTTCTTCGCAAGCTTCAGGGTTATGGAATTTCAGGTTGATTGTTTGGCAATACAATCATTCCTGTCAAACCGTGTATTGATGGTCGTTCTCAACGGATTCTCCTCCAGCTCCTATCTCACGAACGCGGGTGTTCCCCAAGGCTCCATCCTAGGCCCTACACTGTTCCTTATCTTCATCAATGATCTTCCTGACGTCATAGATTCCCAAGTAGGCATCTTTTGTTTCCGTTTTCCTTAAAACTTCCTCGTTGCTCACATGCTTCGTCCATGTTATTCTCAACATTCTTCTCGAGAACCACATTTCCGTTGCTTCCTACTTCCTCTTCATCTATCAGAAGATTGTCCAGAATTCAATAACATATAAGAGCATAGATATGACATAGAAGTTCAGCACATTTCCTGTTTCTTAATACTCTGCTTAGCTTTTGGGAGTCATCTATTGCTTTTCCAAAACGCCTTTAGATTCCTGTGTCACATTTTTAAACAATTCCCAGCATTGGTATAAAATATTTTTACTAGCAGTCCCACAATGTAAAGCTTTATGGTGGCTTGGGGATTAGTGGTTAAAATGAACAGTTGATTTACCGATGATTTACCGAAGAAGATTAATGAAGGATGATAATGTCGAGGAAACACACAACTAATTTAAAAAAAAACAAGATAAGGAATTTATTCACGCTTGAAATAGTGTCCGTAGCTTTTTTTCAGGAAATTAATCAGAATTTTTAAAGTCCGTAATTTAAACGTATTGTCATGAAGAGGAAATTTTCATACAACAGATTAAATGATCTGACACAAAATATGTTTAAAACAAAGGTAAGAGAGTTCGTTGTTCACAAAAGGGATATATGGTTTACCTAGGTTCAAAAGTAGGTGAAGAAAGATAGTTTGAAATACTTGATGTTCTTGGATTGTTGACAGAAAATTCTTTGAAGTGCCGCGTGCTTGGTTAAAAGTTGATAATATAATTGGCGAATAATTTTACACTGGCAAGAATTTCAACACCTGTCGTGATTAACAGAAACGAAACCATTCACATATCTTCAGACAATCTTCACACATTGATCTAATTTTTCTTCTCATTTCGCATAGGCTCGCGAATTTATTTCCTTCTTCTTCTTCTTAGCTGACCAGCTAATTTCTGTGAAGACAAGGTTCAGAAACAATTTCGCATAAAGTCACGAATACCTTTCCGTCTTCTTGTGAAGGCAAGGTTTTCATTGGTCCAAAGAAATTTTTACGTAGACTCGTGTATTTCTTTCCCTCTTCTTCCACAGCTCACTCGAATTTGAAGGGAGTGAGTGAAGGGAGTTATTATTTCGCACTCACTACAGCCTGTCACCTTAAAATGCCATGGCGGCGAGTCTATAAATTTATTGTTTTTAAAAAGCATCTATGAATATTTCCATTTATTTTGTGATATCATCTGTTAAATCTGCTAAAATAGTACTACATTTAAAGGAATAAAAATTCTTATTTAAAACTGTTTACAGTTCTTGGTATCTCTTGAGCTTATTTCCAAAATATAAATAAAGACGTCTGGATATTTTTTTGATTTTATCACTGATAAAGCAAAAGAAAGGTGAACTCGATAATT